CCAGTCCCGGCCGCGCGGAGCGGACATGTGCAGGCTGGGCTAGGAGCCGCCGCCTCCCCACCCACCCAGCGATGTATTCAGCGCCCTCCGCCTGCACTTGCCTGTAAGCGCCCGCGTGCGGGGCTGCCCACCCCGCCTAGCCGTCTGTACGTGTGCCTGTGGCTCTGTCTGCCCGCCCGTCTGTTCGCCGGACTTTCCTCCTGCTTGTCTGTCCGCGAGCCCCTCTCCCTCAAGTCCCACTGACCACCTCTCCATCTCTTTCCCGCAGGTGTTTACACTTCCTGCTGCTGTGCTTCCAGGTACAGGTACGTGGGCTCCAGGGTCTGACCTCCCCCCAACCCCCGTCCCTGCCCCGCGGTCCACAGGGATCCCCCTTTCCGAGCCGCGCCTCCTCCCTGTGCCCCACCTCTCCTGGGCGCTGAGCCCAGTGCACCTGTTCTCGGGGCGCGGAAGGGCGGCTCCGTGCGCGCCCTGCGAGGGCCGGGGACCAGCCAAGGGTAGGGGACTCTGCTGCCGGGTCCAGGCCGGCGCTTGCTGTCGGGGCCCCTGTCGGCCCCAGAGACCGCTGGCTCAACCGTAGCAGTGTGCCTAGCTCCAAGCCCCCGCCTGCAGCCGGCGAGGATTGGGACCTAGCGGTGGTATCTGCCAACCGTCCCTTAACATCGCCGCTTGCTCTTCCAAACAAAAAGGCTCCTTTCAGAGAGTGGATTTTGAGTCCAGGGAGAAAGCGTCAGTTGTAAATTACTCTGTGGTTTCAAAGGCGTTTGCAACATTGAGAGAGAAGGGGAGAGACTGACAGACAAGCACTCGGGACTAGGGGTAACGCACGGCGCCTAGGCAGAGGGGTCTTCGAGGCCGCTCCGGGACGGGCCGGCTCTGCACGCCCTCGCCCAAGGTGGTGTAGCCCTCGGCTGGTTCCCAGCCTGCTCCGCCTTCGCTCCGTGAATCAGAAGAGGGCTTGGCTCCCAGCCTGGAAAGCACTTGCTAAAATCTGATCTGTTACTTCAGCAGCTTTCAGACTCGGGAAGGTCTTGGCACGAAGACAGTTGGAACGCTCTGGCTTCCAAAGCCGTAGAAATGAAGGAAAAAGGGGGGTGGGAGGGAGAGAGAAGAGGGAAAAAGGGAGCCGACCTCAGCCCCGATTAGAACCAGACCAGGGCTGCCTCGGCATGGTGGTGGTGGTGGTGTGGGGAACAAAAAGAATAGGAAGCCCAGCTGCTCAAACCCCCCACCCACCTAGAGCTGTAAGGGAGGAGACATAAGAGGAGCTGGACACAGGCCAAAAGAGGGTTATTTGACCCTTCTCCCTGCGGTTGAAGGCAGGTGTCCTTACAGAGTTAGAGAAGATGCTTAGACCTTAGCCTTCGGGTTCTGGAGATGCCCAGAGAGAGCCTTCCGCACAGGAAAATGGTGGTTCTCCCAGTTTTCCAGCCCAAGCAATGTTGATGCTTTTGAGTGCTAAGAGTCATCAGCCTCCTGCACTATTTGGTGGTGGTGGGCCTGCTTATCTCCCCTCCCACTCCCAGGAGAGGAATGTTACCTTCATGGTAGGCACTGAGTGGGGGGCAGCCAGTGGGGCTGCAGCTGAAAAGATGGATGGACGGACTGATGGGGTTCTTTCCTCCTGTTGGCCAGGCTAGGGTCCCCAGTGACTCCTTGAATCAATACAACTGGAGTCAGTAACTTAAGACTGGCTGTGTGCCAAAGCAGATGTGACCCTGAGTGGTGATTGGGGGTGGGGTACAGAGTAGCTGGTGTCAGAGAGGGACGCCAGTGCCAGGTATGGCCTGCCTGGTCTGTAGCTGAGTCCCTATGCAAAGGGCAGGCCCCAGGGTTACTCCAGGGGGCCTGCTTATCTGATCTGGGCAAGAGCTCTTTTCCAGAGTGGTGAGATGGGCATGGGGATAGTGGGGGTGTGCAGGGCTAGGTTGCTCAAGCTTCTGGATGCCTGCTGCTCTTGCTTCTTCTTGAAGTAGAGCCCAGAAGGGGTTGCTGTGTGGTCTTTGTGTTCTCAGGGGGAGTTGGAGGGAGGGAGTCTGGACTCTGCATACCCCCTCCACCTCCTGGCCAGAGCTAGAGCCAGCATCTTCAGAAAGAGCTGGGTGGTCCGTCTGGGTTAGGTCAAGAGGCAGCCTTCAAGCAGGTGAGGGAGCCTCCTCTCTCCCTCTCTTACCTCCTCCCTTTTCCCCTTTGTCCTCTCCAGCCTTTCCACATCCATGCTACCATAGGACTAGTTTTTAAGGGTGAGATTGGAATATCTAAGGGTGAGATTATTGGGAAATCCTTGAAACATTGTGTGAAAATGGTGCCCAAATGCGCTCTGTCTCAAAGAGGGTTCTCAGGTTCTTACAGATTAGAATGCTATCCTAAGGGACTTATAGGCGAGATTAGCAGGTTCATCTCCCTGTTCACCCTTCAGGGACAAAGTTGAGGTGGCCTTGGTAGAGATGAGGCTTGGGAGTCATGTGGCATGAGCTGCCAGGAGCTGGAGTCTGTACCAGTTTAGGTGGTATTGGGCAGTTGCTGGAATGGCTATGTCCTGAGCTGGCTGTGCTTAGAAATCAAGTTAGAGCTCCTTTGGTGTGTGAAGGGGTGAGGAGGCCACCCTGAGTGGTGGGAAGGGCTCAGGGTTTTGCAATGCAACGGACTAGGCCTGAACCCCACCTCCTCCGGGGTCTTAGTATCATTGTTTGTGAAATGGGTGGTCATGAGGTTGCATTGATATATGATAGGGGTAGAAGAAGCTTTGTAAATTCTCATCCCCCAGGAAGGCACGTTGCTCTGCTGGGAAATGGATGCATCTATGCCCTTCCCTCCCCCACTTCAATGTTTGAGGGCCTGGTCTAGTCTTAGCAATGCAGTTTCTGGGCTCCTCACCTTGGCGTGTCCCTCATCTACCAGCCCCAGAATGGGTCCCTGCCCCCAGCCTCGTTTCCATGAGCACATTCAATGCCAGATACTGTCCTCCCCCCACTCCCAATGTTGTAAGCCCTGCCCTCATACCCTCCCCACCTCCTGCCACCCCTGGAAACAGGAAGCTGGGAATTTAATAAAATCCCTTCATCCCTTCTTCACACAACTCGGGACACCACAGATAGCTCAAATTGGAAGAATTTAAAAAATTTCCACGGGGAGCAGGCGGCATGACCAGTAAATTGCTTTTCTGCACTTGGCTGAGCTCTGACAATGACACCGGGCTGGGCCTTTCACGCAGCTCGGCTGGCACCTGCCTGACATTGTTCCTGCCGCCAGGCTTGGCTAGGTCCTGGCCTTCCCCAGACAGGCCAGGCATGAGGCAGGCCACAGCTGGAGGAGCTTCCTCTGGACCCTTGTCTCTCCTACCAGCCCCTTGTCTCTCTTGGAGTGCCACTTCCTCTCTCATCCCGTGAGGTGTTCAAGTTCGGAAGTGTCATTCTGTGCCTCCCTCAGCCTGACCACCCTCCACCCCTGGCCTTCTGAGTGAGGTTTAGCACCTTTCCTCAAGCTGGCTAGGAAGGAGAAGCCAGAGACAAGGTCCTTTGGGACAAGAGGAGGATGGGCGCTCCCTTAGTGGATGGTGCTTTTAATTCTTAAAGCAGCATTATCCATGTATGCACACAGACGGTACTCACTCAACACATTCTTGCTGGGAGCCTGCTTCTTGCCGGCCTGGGTAATAAGACCTAGTCAGTCCCCAGCCTCAGGGAGCTCCCAGTTTAGAAAGGGAGAGTTCCATCTTGGGGAGGGGGGTGCTTGTTCTCTCTGTCCCCCCTCTCCAAGCACTCTGGACTGTGGTAACATCTCCTCTCGTTACCAGAGTAGGAAACCAGAGCTAAGGAGCAGTGACTTGCTTGAGGGAAAAAGACCCTGCTTGTGGGAATGTCAGAGTGTCCCTTACAACAGGAAGCTGGCTTCACTCTTCCAACCATTTTTTTTTTTTTGGAGACAGAGTCTTACTATGTTGCCCTCGGTAGAGCCGTAGCGTCTCAGTTCACAGTAACCTCAAACTCTTGGGCCTAAGGGATTCTCCTGCCTCAGCCTCCCAAGCAGTCGGGACCATAGGTGCCCACCATAACACCTGGCTATTTTTTTATTATAGTTGTCATTGATGTTCAGCAGGCCCAGGCCAGGTTCAAACCTGCCAGCCCCAGTGTATGTGGCTGGTGTCCTAACCACTGAGCTACAGGCACCGAGCCCACTTCCAGTCATTCTATGGGGAGGCTGACGTAGGAGGGGGTAGTGTTCCTGTTTCACAGATTGAGAAACTGAGACACAGAGTGGAGAAGGGATTTATTCAGGGCCATAGCTAAGATCCAAGACTCTGGAATGTAGATCTTATATTCTTTTTACCACAGCAAGCTGACTTTTCAAGAATGAATCCTGAAATTATCCAGAAAGGATACTGGTGGGAAATAGTCCCCAGAGGCATGCGAGAGGTTCATATCAGATTCTGTTTGGATGTGGGGGTGGGGGGATGTTCAGAGCCCAAGTAAGTGTCTCTGAGATTGAGGACATCTGACTTGGAGTCTGTGGGCCCTGTTCCTCCTGGAATGTGCTCGTCAGAGAGGGTCCCAGACTTAGAGGTGGGTATCCCAGGAGGGGCAGGCCTGGGGGATTCAGCACTCCCCTCCTAGAGAAGGAGGAGGGGGCGGGGCACCCCACCAGCATTCCTGTAGCCAGGGAGTGTCACCTGCTCTGAGATAAGGAGGTGGATTTTTCGAATTTCTTGTGGTTGGCACAGCCAGTGTCAGTGGGCTTGAGGCAGCACAACAGGGTCACAGGTGCTGCCTCTATCTAGCCCCTGGCAGTTCTAAGGGCACAGTAGTCCCCCAAAGGAAAATTGGAGGGAAACAGGGAGGAGACTTTCATTTTCAGGAAGGCCTTTTGGTTCTGACCTAGTCATTTAGCAGGGAATTTGTGGGTGTGAAAATTGGGGTGCAGGCACCTTTGGCTAACAAAAACGATACTCACAGTGGGCCATGAGGTATTGTATACTCACTATACACGTTATCCAGGTCAAGGCTCGCATCTAGCCTAGAATGAGGGATTCTGCAGAGAAGGAAAAAGAGGAGTGAGGCATAAAGTAACCTACCTATGGTCACACAGCAAGAGAGAGGCAGAGCTGCAACCTGTCTGGCTCTAAACCTAGGCTTACTAGTATCAGAACCGTGGAGCTGGCCAGCTTGGTTCACACTGTGGCTCTGCTTTCTTTTTGCTGTGTGATCTTGGGCGAGTTACTTACCCTCTCTGGTCTCAGCTTCTGTGTGTGTAAAATAGGAAAAAACGACCAAGGAAACAGTCCCTGCTGCCTGTGTGGGGAGGGCAG